AGTATGTACAAAGGAGGGAGGGCACCAAGATTTGTCAGTGCTTAGGGCACCAGTGAGCCTTAATCCGCCACTGGATCCAAGGGAAGGGGGACAGGGAGGGGGGAGAAGGAGGACTCTTCTTTTATGGTCTCCTCTCCCGATTTTCTACTTCCTTGCTTTATTTGGGGTCTTCTGCCCCACCCCAGCCCTCTGATCTCCACTGCGTTTTTCACACAAAAAAGGACCCGTCCAACTGACCTCAAGGTCACCCAAGAACTGCGCGCAACCATCACGCCGACTTGAGAGAAGGCGCGATCAAGATGGGGCTCCCACACAGGGGCCCCACCGGCCCAGTCCGAGGATCCGCTTAGAATCCCGCCAAATTTCAGAATTTCAAACGGAAGTCGCCTGGCCTCTCTCTCCGCCAGACCCGACCATAGGGGGGTGTCGCCCACCCATTCCTCCTCAAGATGTCCAAAAAGAGTTGCAGCGAAAGGCTTCCCAATCTGGATCCGTTTAGCTCAGGGTGGTGGATCTGGTCCGGGACGAAGCAGCCTGCAACGCCCGGATGCCCTCTAGATGCAGTCAGCAGGCTGGGAATAATGGGATTGAAATCCAAGCCAACCGATGCATAGATAGGCTGTTGGAAAAGGCTTATTGGTTTATTGTTGGTTGGTTCCATCCTAGCAGACCCCCCAGCCTGCTTTGCTCATCAGAACCCCAAACCAGCCCCGGGTTTCTTCAGACTCTGCGCTCACTTCCACGGAGGGGGGAGGAGGGAGCCGAGGGCTTTACTTTCAAATAAGACCAACCCGCGGAGGAAAAAGAGCGCAGGGCGGTAGGTTACTTGCGCCAGCCAAGGTGGTATCAGGAAATAGGGCGTCCCATAGGATTCTTAGGAGGGCAGAGCCAAAAGAGGCCTTCTGAGGCTAGACGGCTGTGTGCACCCAACTGCCCGGAGGTAGCTTACCGTTTACAGCCACCCACCCACCCAATTTCTGAAGTTTAGCATTGGTTTTCAAATCTTTTTCCGATTCCACACAATCCCCCCCCCCCTTTCAACGCTCTCGCGCACTCTTGTTTTGGTGCAACCTGCTATCTTTAAAGGCACCGCTGAACCCTTCCACCTTAGACTCTTTGGGTGAGGCGGGTTGAAGACCCTGGCAGCTAAAGGCAGTTTCAACCAAGGCAGCCTCCCCCCCCCTCCCCCGGCCAGTGGTGTATTAACCATTAAGCAAACTAAGCACGTGCTTAGGGCACCAAGCCCAAGGGGGCACCACAAAGTTGAGAAATTGGTNTTTTTTTTTTTACAGAGGAGGTACCTGCAGGCGGTATTCTGCCCCAGTATTAGAATTAAACCTTTAAAATATATTAGCTGCATTTCTCTTGAAGTTAATTTGCAGGGTTTCCTTGTACCCTGAGGGGCCCTGGCCACAACTGGCGGAGAGCCTAGTTGGCAAGCCCTCTCATTCCGGACGCTTGCTTTTCTCAACGAAAGGCGAGGTTTGGGATAACTTCATCCTTTTTTAAATCGCTGGATGGCAAAATACTAGCGCTGAAGGATTCCTGCCTCGCTCGCTCGCTCGCTCTTTCCTTCCCTCCGCCGACTTCGTTCTAAATCAAAGGCACTCGAGCCCCACTTCCTCTG